CCCAGTAAAAAACTTATCATAACTTATCGGTTTACGTTTAGCAAGACAACATTTCACAAAGAAACTGCTGAGTACGGCCTAAGCGCCTCATTCGGCGGAGGGGCGATGCGTGGCCGGATGCTGTCTTGATGGTCAATTTGCAATTTCCTAGCGTGACAACTCACAGCTCAGAACTCGGGCTATGTCTAATTGCTGCTTAAAGGGGCAGGGTACTTAGTAAGTGCTTACACAAATGTAGCCATGGTAAGTGCGTCATAACCAGTCTTTCCAACCACGTTCTAAGTACCACGCCCCTTTAAGTAGGTTCACTGAACAGGGACCATGACTTGGAACATATCTGTTTTTAGCGGGGGCAGAAGCCGAGGTAGTTGTGGAACTGTGGCACGAAGTGCCAAGATTGCTGGCAAGATGGTCAACTTGGCTGCAAACCCATACCAGCAATATCTTGAGTTGCTCACACATCAGAGCACTCGATTAGGTTTTCGCGAGGCTTCGTTAGCCGCAAAGTTTCTGAATGGAGGAGAACATGTCCTGCCGGAGTAGAAGGTCGACCCTGTCGGATAAATTTGGGGGTGGCTCAAAATTTAGCCACCAGGAATTGGACCGCAGGTTTTGGTCCTTTGTTCCATTCACCGATCTGGCAACCCAGTTTGGGGTTGCCCTATTTCTGACAACCACAGTTGAGCTGCTTCGTCTCAACCGTGAGCACTCCAAGCTTCCAGTGATTCTAAGACGGGTCTACCTAGTTTTAAATGGAATCTAGCACTACTGGATGTTTGTTTCTCGGGAGCTTACGCACATGGAAGTTACGCCGTGTTTCTGGGTCCCTAAGGGGCAACTGAGGTTAGGGTGACAGTTGACAAAATTTTCGGGGGACGCCTCTGCTTGGGTGACGTAGTGGAGTGCTGCAGGTACTGCAGCCTGTGTTCCAGAATCCGCTTTTTGCTCGGTTGCTCCGCAATTCCAGGAACCTCAAACTCTTTGCTAACGATTTTATGGAACCATGTTGCGCGGGGAAGACCATGTGCGTAACTTGCTGCAAAGGCAATTTTGTCGAAGACCATCCTGGACCCCCAAGAGGCCCCTTTGGCTGCCTTTGTAGCAACTGCCAACGAACCATGGTTTCCCATGGCTTCAAAGTGGTGCAAGATTTCGTCCATCCACAGTATGGGTCTGTGTGTGCGCAGTGTTTCCGAGCAACTTCTCTTTTTTAGAACCTCCAAAAGTGGCAGTGGAACAATGGGAGCCAAAAACGCAGCTTTTGGCATGGAAATTCAGTGACCCAACTCATTAGGTTCGCGAGCTTCCGGGATGATGTGACAAAATCAATCTTGGTTTAGCCTTTGCAACCCGGAGGTCCGGACCTCCGGGTTGCGATGAAACCTTTCGCAGGGAAAGGTGTTTCGGAGCAACGGCGTGTCGGAGATTTTTCATCCTCAGGCTTTCGGCCTGACATCGCCCCTGTGGGCGAGAAATCTCAGTTGTCCAAAGCGAATCGACCGGATCTGACCTTTTGGTTTTCCCATTTTGGCACCCATATTTAGTCATGCCCCCAAAAGGTTGACCTCTTAGTTGCAGGTCCTTTGGGCAACTGAGAAATAGATCAAAGCCCACGGCTTTTCCTATGGCTCCCTTGGACCCAAACCGCTGGAAGCGCCACGTTTGGGCGGGGCTTTTGTTGGAGGGTAGCGGCATTTCCGGCTGGTTTAGCGGGACACCAGCAGGACAAGAAGCCTTGGCAGGCCCGAGACACCCCTGCGGAACTCGATCCCCATATTTGACATGAGCTTCCCGCGGGTGCAAAGGTCCAAGAAGCTCCTGGCAGGTGTTGTAGATTCCCGGGACTCCGGTCACTGAACTGGGAACGGCAAAACCGTTTCCACCCCGGACGGCACGACACTTCTCCGGGGCGAGGGGCCACTCAATGCGCTGGGAAACGTGGTGCTACTTTTTTCGCGCTTTCATGGAAAGCCCTGCGGAACCTGACGACTTTGCCGTAGTGTTGGCCCGTTTCGGTATGGCAAGGTACTCCCCGGCAGATTCACATATAGAAGAATGACCTTTCGGGGTTCCATGTTCATTCGTGGGGGGGTGTGTTGTCCACTCCCACAGGTAAATGCAGGTGACTAGGTGACCTTTGGGAGCAAGTCACGATGGGGATTCGACTTGGCCCAAGTCTGAGTGGATTGCGGGTGGCATGCCTGTTAAGACGTGCATGCATCGGAAGCAGGTCGTGGCGTCGCTGTGCTTGACATGTTGTGTTTTGTTCGTTCGTATTGTTTGCTTCATGATTGCAAAAGTGTTTTGCCTAACATCAATGAATCAAGGGGTGGACAATCAAGGTCCCTTATTTTTGGCACAGTGCCATTTGCATGCGCGCTCGGGAGCGCTTGTTCTCGCCACTTATGGTCTGAGTTGCGAGAATGCCACTCTGCATTTGGTCTCTTGCTTTCTGAGTTGAGCGCTGGATAAGCCGTGGGCTTTCCACATTGCAGGGCAACCTCGGGCTCTCCTTTCCGCTGGAGGCGTTGCGTTTTGGGGCGTGTTTTTCTTGGGGCAGTTGTTGTTCCGTTTGATTTAAAGGGAAGCCAAAGGAAACTGGGCCTATTGTGAGAAGCCCCACTGCTTTTTCAGCTTCCTGCGGGTCCGATGGCCCAAGAATCTGGCTGGTTTTGTTGATTCCTGGGGTAATGGCGCGTCGGAAACGGCGAATCCGGTGCCTCCCGAATCAGCATACCCAGACGACAAGATGCTTGGCCATTCAATGCGGTGGGAAACGTGGTGCTACTTTTTGCGATTTCATGGAAAGCCCTGCAGAACCTGACGACTTTGTCATAGTCTATGTCATAGTGTTAGCCCATTTCGGTATGGCAAGGTACTCCCCGGCAGATTCACATTTAGAAGAATGACCTTTCGGGGTTCCATGTTCATTCGTGGGGGGGTGTGTTGTCCACTCCCACAGGTAAATGCAGGTGACTAGGTGACCTTTGGGAGCAAGTCACGATGGGGATTCGACTTGGCCCAAGTCTGAGTGGATTGCGGGTGGCATGTCTGCTAAGATGTGCATGCATTGGAAGCATGCCGTGGCGTCGCCCTTGACATGCTGTGTTGTGTTCGTTCGTGTTGTTTGCTTCATTCTTGGCGGCCTGCAAAAGAAGTGCAAAGTGTTGCTAGGTGACTGCCACAACGCAGGCATGGTGCCATTTGAATGCGTGCTGCAGAGCGGCCACATGCCAGACTGTCTTTGCTAAGTTCCCCAGTAGGGCCCTTTTACCCTTTTTTGGAGGAAGGTGCCCTTACTAAAATAGACTACCAGAAAAAGGGTACCCTTATTCTAACCTCTCTACTGGAGCACCTAGTTTGGGTCTCGCTTTCTGAGATCCTGTACTTCGAGCTTTGGGAGAAGACACTTCTAGGGGTAGTCAACAAGTTTGGACTCAGGGAAGTCAGGCATGCCATGCAGTGACTGCAGTGGCTTGAGTTGATCGAAAGGAGCATCGGGAAACCTGCGCTCTGTCCGGATCAATCAGCCTTGCCTTTGCGAGAGATGCTCTCGCTTTCCGGCATTCATACAGCAGAACGCTGAGGCTGTTAACAAGCGAATTCTTCACTTGCCCAATGAAAACCGGATCTGCCTGTTGCCTGTTCCAATTCTAGTCTCTATTCAGCATGCTGAGATCCCCACCCCCGCAAGAATGGAATTGGGGGAGGTGGTTCCATTTTCCTTTTTATGGGGAAGACGTTCGATCAATGGAATGGGGGACCCCACCCCCCTTCCCCTTAAGGTAGGGGGGATTTGCCAAGTTGACTGCGGAAAAATTCAAAACTGCGGCTTTGAACGCTGACGTCCCTAATGTGCCTGCCAGCTTGGTTGGCAACCACCACCTTGTTCTTGACAGTTCATTTAATTTGCCGGAGCTCAGGGAATGACCTTGAGTCCGTGTATTGAATGCACCGGTTTTGGGGATTCCTGACAAAGGACTCTTGAAGTTTTTCTTGGTCATTCATTCCCGTTCGCTTCGCGAACCGATTTGCAGGGAAATCCAATCATTCTAATAGGTTTCTTGGGTCCAGGCTATGTCCGGCTTCCGTGGGCACGTGAGACACAGCACTTGTCAACTTGCCACATATTTGCAGCGAGACGAAAACACACAAGCATGCGTGAGAGTTCTCCGCCGGAAGCGGCGCGGGGTAGATTTTTTGCAGGGCCGTTCTTGAGGTGAATGCTCTCTTTTTCAGTCACGGGCTGGCATCGTAGCAAGAGAAGCAGGGGCATCTCAAGTGACATGCCTTGGCACAAGTCTTGCGAGCCCAGAACAGAACGCTGAACATTTTCCAAGCGACAAGGAGGCAATACATTTTTGTTCCCAGGCCCCCTATTTACGTGATCAAATACATAAAGCTGTTTGTTCTAGTTGAACTTTGTGGAAGTTGCTTTCGATCACTTGGTTTGTTCCTGCTGTTTCCTGCTACGGTTATACAAGGAATTAGGGACTGGCAAAAGCTTTTGCTTTCTGGCGCAAGTCTTTCGATCCTGAATGGGGGCCAGACAATATCGAGGCAACCTTCGTGGGCTCTCTCCTGCAGCCGTGACTCAAGCGTGCTGCCCAAAGCTGACCTTTTCGCTTTGCTTTTTGTTTCTCCCAGATCCCAGGCAAGTCCTTGTAGTAGGCAACCCTTCACTATTCCTCTTTTGGTTCTCATATCGCATGGTTGGTTCCCCTTGGTTACCCGCAGGCAAATGGATCCACTCCACTTGAGCCCTCAACCTACCCATAAAGAAGGGAGTTCACCAAGTCACCCACCATAATTTTTGGGCAACAACTCATTGTCCAGTTGGATTTTGGAGGGTCCAGGTCGTTCAGAGCCCTGGAAGTACTCATGAAGAGCGGAGTTCACCCACCATATTTTTGGGGCAACCCATCTTTCGGTTTTGTTCTGGAGGGTCCAGGTCGTTCAGACCTATACCCAGGGTCTTGGGACACGATTTTTTCCGGGTCCTTTCTTTGGGCAGCAGCGACCAGCCTCCCGCGTTGGGCATCGCTCGAAATTCGCCGCATGTGCTCCGAGACGGGGCTAGCGGGGCGAGCGGAGCGGCCCTCCGCCCCTCGGCCCTGGTGTTGTTTTGCTCGCAGCTGTTTTCTTGAGCCTGGGGTTCACTTTGGTGCATGTTGCCAGATGTTAGGACTAGAACTTTTCGCCAACTGGGTTTTCCGTATTGAGCCACCAAAAGTTTGTTGTTTTTTTTTTTTCCTGCTGCGGGGGAGCAGAACTACTGAACCCTAGGGGCAGCCGGGGGCAGCGAGGCAATGGCAATGGCATTTGCATTGCGGTGGTTTTACTTCAGGAATTTATCACTACTGGAAATACGCGTTTTCGTTTACAGGGGGTTGAAGCAAATGGAAGATTGCCAGACTCAGTTGAGCGAGCAGGGTTGTGGGATCACTCAGGTTTATCCAACACTTCTATGATACAAGGGAATCTCTTCCCCTTCTGGCAGGTTTGCCTTTGGGAAGCCCTTTTTGTTGCACAGAAGTCTTGCTCAAAACCGCAAGGGACAATCCCCAAGCATAAAGGAGTACCTTCGCCGCCTTTTTGGTTCTCTAATGCCGGGTTTTGATTGTGACTCATTTTGGCTTTTCGACCTTTTGTTTCGATCACTCTGGGCTGTTCAAAGGTAATCCTCAATCCTTACCTGGGGTTACGCAAGGGGTCGCCTTTGTAGTGGCTTTCCTATTGGGGTTTTGGATTAGGATTGGCCAAGCCTCCATTTTGAACAGCCCAGTCACTTTTAACCAAACCAGAAGCAGCGTTTTGTTTTTTAGGCAGCGGGGTCAGGCCGTGTGGCCTGGCCCAGTTTGGATCCTTGAGGAAATGGTCCAGGACTAAGCTGCTAAGCTAGACCGATTTCGTCCTTGGGGGCTGTCTAGAAGGAACCTTCACTTCAGCGGGACTTTGGGGTTAAACTCGGTCTCTGAGTTGCTGTGCTTGAGCTTTTTGGGACCAATGTCTCACAAGCGAAGCGACCTTTTGACCTGGTGTTCCCTTTTCGGTTTACTGTTCTTCCCCAGAATTAGTGCCCCTTCTTCCTTTTTTGGGTCCCCTTTGTTTTCCACTAACCAGGCAAAAAACCATTTTTTTGCAGGGGTCCTAATTCCAGCCAAGTGTTCGTAGTCCCGAAAGGTGAACCTTTTTCCAGGTCCCTAAGGGGCAAGTGAGATTTCTTTGGTGCATTTTGCTTGGCTGTTAGGACTTTAACTTTTTGCCAAATGGGTTTTCCACTAAACCACTAAAAGTTAGTCACTGTTAGCAGGGGAGCAGAAAGCAACCGAGATTTGGTCACCAAACAGCTTGGACTTCTTTGGCCAATCAACTCGGTAATTTTCCATGACATGCACAAATGCATTCGGTTGTGGCCCATGCCAGCTGCAAGCAGGGGCAAACAAAACAAAAGTGGAGACCTCGTCGTCCGGCCTCCCGAAGCAATTTTCGTCGCAAAGCCATTGCGGTCATGTGTGATTTTTGAACTCGATCCCTTTTTGCTCACGAGAGTCACAACAATTTTCTAAGAGCATGGGGGGTTTCTGAAAACACACTGAAGGACCGAGCACAGGAAGCTTTTGGGCTAGCGCCGAGCGGATCGGGAACGGGGGCCCCGAACCCTTTGGTCCCAAACGGTGATCACCTTGTATGTCTGGGTCCTTCGGGCATTTCATGGTGGTTTTTGCTTCTTGCGGTTGAGTGGGAAATCCCCAGTTAACTGCTAAAATTTAAATTGTTGCTCCCAGATTTGAGGAGTTCTTCTTGATTTGCAGATCCGGCAAATCAGTTTTCCCTCTCTCCATTGGGCTTGCCTTGTATGAAGAAAACCCCGGGGCATTGATCTTGGGTTTAATGCCCAATGTGAAGGTTTCTCGACTTTACTTGGCATTTGCTTGCTTCGCGGGTTTGGTTCTGCCATTGCAATTCAGGCCCAAATGAGTATTTGGGCGTGTACTTTGATCTGTCGGCAGACGTCCCGGCGGATGAGACGGCACCTGTGGTTTTCATCTGTTTGCCTTTCTGAGGCTCTCATGTTCAGACTCTTCAGGAAAATGTCCCAAGAGGACCGTGGGCGCTTGGGGGAACTGGGGCCGTCCCTTTGCCTTTAAGTTGCACTTCTTCAACCGGTTAGACCCCACAAGGCCCACTTTTTTCAGCCTTTGTACCATGGTTTGTGGGTCAAACACCCTCGGTCCTTCCAGATACCTGTACAATTGGTTAAGTCGCTTGGGTACCTACTATATTGGAAACTGGCCAGTAGTTTCCAGAACCACAATCAAGGCTACACAATAAAGGGCAGAAGCGTGAAACAGTGTGCCGGAACAGTAAAAAAACGTGAGATTGAAGTCTGGTTCCTACCTTTTTGGCAACCGAGCTTGGTTCCAGAAAAATTGGTAACCACCTGCCAGTTACTTGTTATACAGGTAACCCGGAAGCGCTGGGACGGAGAACAGGGGTTTCTTGGTGGAGGGTCCAACCAGTTACTGTAGTGAAGGTGATGATCATGGTAGGAAGAACCCGGTTGATCAGCAATCAGAATTCGCTGTTTTTCATTCGGGGGGTGCCCCAGTTTGTAATTTCGTGGATCCGGGTCGCATTTGGCCGAAGCACCAGGAAAATGAATCTGTTTAATTCCGTTTACATGAACTATTGTTTGGTTCGGGCGCCCATTTGTCTCCACTAGTCTGGTTGGAAGGTTCTTGGCCCAGTTTTTTCAGCCTTTTGATCCCCACGATATTGAACAAGTATTAAACGATGGCTGGTCGTCAGGACCTTTTGCACACAAATGGGCGGTCCATTAATACAAAAGGCCTAAGGACCATTTGCTGAGGGGGGGGGGGGCTTGGAGCAAACCAGATAAGAGCACTAAGAAAAACACAATCAAGTCACTATATCGTTGTTTACCGCATGGATCCAGATGTTGAAATTTAAATGAAACTACTGTTACTTGCCCATTGCCCACCCCACCTTCCAGAGATTCGACGCAGGAATTCCTCCACGAGTTCGACGCGTTGTTTGGCTACGGCAACGGTTTCCGACCCTACAACTTCGCAGCTTCACTGCTTTGGGCGTTTTTTTTGGTGTTGGTTCTCTTTGGGCCCCAGTACGGAACCCCTTTTTTGCTGCCTACCCACGAAAGCGAGGTAGAAATATGCGTGAAAACACGTGAAATATGGAATCACCCCTTTGCGTTTGCTGACATGGCGAAGTGGGGTGGTTTGGATTGGTGGGAACTGGGGATTTGAACCTCAGGGGGTAAATCTGGGTTTCCCCCCACCAAACCACCGACTCGGCTCCAAACCACCCTTTTCTTCCATTTGCTGAAGTTTTTTTTTTTTGGGGGGGGGGTTAAAGGGAATCTATCACCACTGTTTTTTGCTCCAGGGGCGAAAGAGCAAATGGGCTGTGAGCTGGAAGCTTTTCCAGGTCCATTTGCCCTGGACCTCGCTGGCGGTGGTGAACTTTACAAGCACCAAAGCCTGCGCGGACTGCTTTGCGCTCAGCAAGGAGGTCATGAAATTTCACAGGCGCCCGCGCTTTTCGCGCGGGAATGAGCTCTCAAACGCGTTCCGTTGCGGGGTCTTTAGTCACTGTTTTGCGGTTGGACCATTTCCCAGTTGCCCAGTGGTGCCCTTTTTGCCTTTTTGGGGCAGGGTTCCCCTTTTATACCAACCAGAAAAGGATGTCCTTTTCTTCGCGTGGGCACTGGGCATCTGAGATTTTTTGTTGGTAGACAAACAGTTTGGCTACTTTTTCTGGCCAATCCACTCAAGTCGGGCATAGTTCAAGCACCCCTCTTAAATTATTTACAATCGGTTCTGGGTAGACCATGTTAGTGGTCCATGGATCATAGCGAAACAATGCCTAGACGACGATATAAGGGGTAAACAAAAAAACTACTTTCTGGGATGCAATGCATGTGTGCGGATCCATGAAACTGACATACTAGAGACTACCCTTTGAACGGTTTCTGAAAAGAACATAGGCGCCCAAGAGTACAGGTGCCTCAAAGTACTCACTTGAACGCACCCAGCAAATGGATTTCTGAAGGACGTAGGCGCCCAAGGGCAAAACCAAGTCCCCGTGTGGTGCTGCCAAGGCAGCCGTGCAGTTGGGATCTGGGCCCAGGAAATCGATCCACGGGACTTCGGAAATCGATCCGGCCCTTCGGGACTCCAAGGTCCCAACTATGTCCCCTGGGTGCCCCTGCAAAATGCCCCAGCTGAAATACACGATGGGTACATGGTATATAGCCATCTTTTCCAGGGTGCCAGGGGCACCTGCCCAGGGGCACGTGGTTTCGACCCCAGAATCACTAGTCGCACCCAAGGCATGTCACTAGTGGCAACCCGGACCTCGAAACCATCCCACTGGTCATGCATTTCGGAGATGATATATACCGCTTATGTGGTTTACGTCCACTGTTCCTTTCTGAATTCCCTAGCCCAAGACCCGAAATATCTTCGGGCCTTCGGGCCTTCACCCCCCCAAAAGCCTTCAAAATACTGACTAGGTCTCCCAGTAGTGTTCTTTTACCCTTTTTGGGGGGAGGGTTCCCCTACTAAAATAGGCAAAACCAAAAACAAGTTGGTACCAACTTATTCCAACCTCTCAAATCTGGAGGACCTATATAGCTGAGGTCGAAAGCCATCGAAGCGGCCTCTGGGCGGTCGATTCGCTTGCTCCAGCGAATTGTTACCTTTCTTTTTCTCATTGTCCATATGGCTGTGGCTCAAACAAATGTACCAAAATGGCACCTTGGTAAATGGAACCAAGGACTAGAACATGTGTAACCCTGGCTCTTAAATTTTGAGCCACGCCCATATTTTCCAAAACCCTGTGGTTCAAACCATTCGCCATTAAAACATTGCTTGGGTTCCTATCATCACCATTGTTTACCTAAGGATGGTCATCCAATTTGGGCCCTTGCCATTCTTTTCATGCAAACAAGAAACCCTAGCTTTGCAAATTTCGCCCAGGGCTGTTAGGACTGGATGACTTTCTGCCAACTCATAGGGTTTTCCGAATTCAACCAAAAGTTCGTCACTCGCAGGGCTTCGCCCAGGCGGAGCCCGAGCGGGGGCTTTGGGAAGGAACCGGTGGGATCGGATCCCGTATTGAAAAACCAAACCATTGGCTGAAATGAATATGTTCTTGTTATTTTCCCTGGTGGTTTTTGAATGGAACTTGTTGTTTTTGTTTGTTTCTTTTTTTTCCCTGGTGGTTTTTGAATGGAACTTGTTGTTTTTGTTTGTTTCTTTTTTTTCCCTGGTGTTTTTTGAATGGAACTTGTTGTTTTTGTTTGTTTCTTTTTTTTCCCTGGTGGTTTTTGAATGGAACTTGTTGTTTTTGTTTGTTTCTTTTTTTTCTGTTTCTTTTTTTTTCCATGGTGGTTTTTGAAAGGAACTTGTTGTTTTTGTTTGTTTCTTTTTTTCCCTGGTGGTTTTTGAATGGAACTTGTTGTTTTTGTTTGTTTCTTTTTTTTTCCATGGTGGTTTTTGAAAGGAACTTGTTGTTTTTGTTTGTTTCTTTTTTTTTCCCTGGTGGTTTTTGAATGGAACTTGTTGTTTTTGTTTGTTTCTTTTTTTTCCCTGGTGGTTTTTGAATGGAACTTG